AGACCCAGAGAGCCCAGCCTGCAGCTCCACCGTCCTCCCAGACCCAGCTCAGCCCAGCCTGTAGCTCCACCGTCCTCCCAGGCAGAGAGCCTGGCCTTGCCTGGTCAGTTACCCGGTGGGGCAGGAAGTGGCAGAATCTCCCACTGCCTCAACTGGCAACCTGTGGCATTTGTGAAGTCTGTTCACAATAAAAGAGAGGGCTGAGATCAAATTGGGCAAGAAGAGAGAGACAGGAGAGCCTGAGGGACCTCTGTTGGGGACAGGACGGACACCCAGCCTTGCCCTTGGTGTAAGTCCCGGAGTGGACACTGGGGGTCAGGCAGGACCACTCAGATCCCAGCTGCCTGAATGGCCCTGCCGGAGGTCCCTGATGGTGAGTGCTTAGCCCCACTTTGGTGCTGGGAAGGAGGAAGGAGGAAGGAGATGCCCCCTCCATCCCTGTGGAGGACTGGGGAGATGCTGGTGCTGGCTGCAGCATGGCTGAGGGCATCCATGGCCTGGACTCCTGGTTCTGGTAGCCTCTGCTCACAGAGGGAGATTCTTCCCGAACTGCGCCCCTCACCAGCCTTGGTGACACTGTCCGCTGTCACCAAGCCACCAGAGTCACTGGACCTGCCCACTAGACCTCACTACGTGGCAGAGCCGAGTGTGGGCAAATCCTGTCTCGGGCTCCGTTGCTGGGGCGGTCAGAGGCTCTCCTGAGTGTGTCCCGCCACCCCACCCTGCACCCCAGCCTCCACACACGCAGCCTCCAAGCCCTCTCCCACCTGAAGCCCCCGCCCGCCGACCCCGCACACTCCTGAGGACTGAGCATGTTTAAACAGGGTGTGTCGCTTCAAGGCAGAAGGACGGGAGGACACTGGCGACAGCCGCTTCTGCCGAATTTAGCCCCACAAAGGTCTGTAGTGATGATAGCACCCCCACCGCCACATTCCTCTGCTCTGCGACAGCGCTCCCAGGCCCTTTGCAACTTTCTGGACTGAGGAAACCAGTTTCTTTAAATTACTCGGAGGACCCTGGATCCCGGACCCATGTCTTGTGTCAGGGCCTGGCCCCAGCTCACGGCCACTTCTGCAGAGGAGCCTCCTGCTCCCCCGTGAGCAGCCACCCCAGCAGCCGCTGAGCTTCCTGCCCTCGGTGGTCCCAGCAGGGGCCCCTTCTTGAGACCCAGGGTTGGGGCAGATGAGCGGGCCCTGGGCCACCCACTCCTCAGCAAGACTCACACCTGGGGCCTGGCCCACCAAGGCAGACTCGAGTCACCATGATGTAACCAGGCCGCCTCTCAGTGAGGCCCGCCGCTGCCCAGAGGTTCCCGCAGGTCCTCACCGCTTCCTCCTCTCTGCTGTGCCCTCTGACAGGAGCATGTGGCGTGCGGCTTCGTTCCTGGCCCCGACTCCACTTCTCAGTCCATTTCCTTTTTTTTTTTTTTTTTGAGATAGAGTCTTGCTCTGTCACCCAGGCTGGAGTGCATTGGCATGATCTCCACTCACTGCAACCTCCACCTCGAAGGTTCAAGCCATTCTTGGGCCTGAGCCACCCAAGTACCTGGGATTACAGGCGCACACCACCATGTCCAACCAATTTTTGTATCTTTAGTAGAGACGGGGTTTCACCATGTTGGCCAGGCTGAACTCCTGACCTCAGGGGACCCACCTGCCTCAGCCTCCCAAAGTGCTGGGATTACAGGCGTGAGCCACCGCGCCAGCACTCAGATCATTTCCAATGCATCTCTCTCCCCACTGGCTCTCCCTCTGTCGCTGTCTCTCTTCCGTCTCTGATTCTCTGTCTCTCTCTCTCCCTCTGTCTCTCCCCCATCCCTTCCTCTCCCTCTGTCATTGTCTCTATCTCTCTGTCTCTGCCTTTGTCTCTCCCTCTGCTCCTCTCTGCCCTCTTCCTTTGTCTCTGTCTCTCTCTCTGTCTCTCCCTCTGTCCCCATTTCTCCCTGTCTCTCCCCCGTCTCCCTCTGTCCCTGTCTCCCTCTGTCCCTGTCTCCCTCTCTGTGTTCCTCTGTCTCTATCTCTCCCTCTGTCTCTGTCTCCCTCTGTCTCTGTCTCCCTCTGTCTCTCCCTCTGTCTCTGTCTCCCTCTGTCTCTCCCTCTGTCTCTGTCTCCCTCTGTCTCTGTCTCCCTCTCTGTGTTCCTCTGTCTCTATCTCTCCTTCTGTCTCTGTCTCCCTCTGTCTCTGTCTCTCCCTGTCTCTCCCTGTCTCTGTCTCTCCCTCTGTCTCTCCCTCTGTCTCTGTCTCCCTCTGTCTGTCTCTGTCTCTCCCTCTGTCCCTGTCTCTCCCTCTGTCTCTGTCTCCCTCTGTCTCTGTCTCTCCCTCTGTCTCTGTCTCCCTCTGTCTCTGTCTCCCTCTGTCTCTGTCTCTCCCTCTGTCTCTCCCTGTCTCTGTCTCTCCCTCTGTCTCTGTCTCCCTCTGTCTCTATCTCTCCCTCTGTCTCTGTCTCCCTCTGTCTCTGTCTCCCCCTCTGTCTCTGTCTCCCTCTGTCTCTGTCTCCCTCTGTCTCTCCCTGTCTCTGTCTCTCCCTCTGTCTCTGTCTCCCTCTGTCTCTGTGTCTCCCTCTATCTCTGTCTCCCTCTGTCTCTATCTCTCCCTCTGTCTCTGTCTCCCTCTGTCTCTGTCTCCCCCTCTGTCTCTGTCTCCCCCTCTGCTCTGTCTTTCCCTTTGCCCTGTCTCTGACGTGCCTTCTCTGTTTCCACCTGTCTATCCCTGTGCGTGCTGAATGTTTTGTGTCTTTTTCTCCATCTCTGTTCATTTTATTTCTCCAGCTCCCCCTCCCTGACCCTGTTTCTGGGTTCCCCTCTCTGAACAGCTTGGGTGCCTCCTGCTCCCTCGCCTGCCGGCTTCTTTGTGTCCGGGGCTTGGTCTGTCTCTCAGTACTTTTCTTGGGGTCTCTGCCAAGCTCTCTCCTGCTGTCTGGCCACCCCCCCAATTTCCATCTGTCTTACTCTCTCACTCACACTCATCCCGAGACACCAACAATGGGGCTCGCTGGGCGGGGGGACAGAGGCAGAAAACAAGGTCTTGCCTGGAAGCCCTCACAGCCCCCGCCCAGCAGCGCTGGCTCCGAACCTCTGCAAAGTCAACACGGGGTGCCCCGGGCAGGGCTCGGTGTGGTGCCCTGGGGGTCCGCCGGCTGCCCCCTCTCGGCTCCACCACGCTAAGCGACACCCGCCCGGTTGCTGCTGCAGGAGAAACTTTGCGCTGATGTGAAACGGAAAGGGAATTCAGGCTGGCAATTACCCAGCTAATTTCAGCCATGTAGACAGCCAAATCAGGTCCTTCAGGTTTCCTACAAGCCCACCTCAGGGTCTGAATTAGCCACCTAATTAATTATCTGTAACAGCCTGGGACTCCCGGGGTGGAGCTCGCCCTTCTTGGTGCAGATGCTGGCTTGTCCCTGAATCACGTCCCGGTGACGCAATCATTATAATTAGACTCAACCTGCAGCTTACCCTTGACCACGAAGGCTCAGGGATGTGGCCCCGGGCCAGGCTCAACATCTTTTCATTTAATTTGTGTTGAGTGGATGCACAGCCACCCTACGGAGTTGGCCGCACACCCAGCTCCTGTCCTGGGGGAGGCAGCGCCTGCCCCTCTGTCCACCTGTGTCCCTGGCCCCTCCAACCTGCAGAGATGTTCCCAGGAGGCCTGACTCACACCAAGGTGTGAATGGCACCAGCTCAGGATGCTCCCCTCTGGAGCCCCCCAAGGAAGACGTCTGTAACGGCAGAATCAGGCGCCAACCACAGGTTATCCCCGAGGGAGCTCTGGGCACTGCTGCTGGGGGAACACAGGATGAACGGCTCTGAGCTAAACCCCCTCATCCAGGACAGTCCCTGAGCTGACCCAACAGCTCTGCCGGGACATGTCTGCACCAGCACGGCCCAGGCCCTGCCCACCTCCTAGACTAGGGATTCAGCCACTGTCCTTGGCATGGCCTCTGGCCACCATGACAGCCTTGAGCCAAGTAGGGATGGGGTTCCTTTCAAAGGGCAGACAGCAGGTTGGAAGAGGGCCTGCCCCCACCCCAGCACACACAAAAGAGGCTGCATGTCCCATCCGGGAGTTGGTCGGGACATGCAGGTTTTTCAGGTCTCTTCCTTTGCTCTTGTAACCAGTGAGCTCTGGCTCTGCGAGGATGGCACTGCCTCACCCAGGTGGAACCCACAGGGTCCTTGACGGATGCACAGGCCAGCTCTGTCCCCATACCTGTCCCTGAGGCAGTGGCCTGCATCCTGCTCTCCCAGGCCGGGCTCTCCTCACCTGGAAGGAAGCCCTCTTGGGGGCTGCCTGGCCCGGCCAGTTAGAACTGTCCCTGCAAAATCTACACCAGGGTGTCCACCCTCTCCCAACACGTGCACCAGCAAGGTCCATGGGCTCTGCCCTGACCAAAGCAGGGGCAGAGTGAGCTCACAAGGCAGCCCCTGTCCCACCAGCACACTCCCACCCCTGTGCTGGCTCTGGGCCTCGGAAAGGGCTGGGCTGGGGGGCCGCTGGCTACGGCCCTAGCTCCCTGCCCTAAGGCTCCGGTGGAGGGCTGCGCTGTGGAGGGCTGTGCAGGTGGCTGCACGGGTGGCTGCAGGGCGCTGCTGCGGTGGGTCAGATAAGGAGCAGCTGGTGTGGTGGTCTCTCCATGTCTGCCTGTCCCAGCACCTGGCCCCGCAACCCACCCCACCACCCCTTCCTACCTCCCAGGGCCTGCTTCATCACGAACTCCATGACGACTGCTCTGATTCCACAGCGGCTCCTCCAAGGGTTGGAACTCACATGCGCGTGTGGCCGGGAGTGAGTGTCCTTCCTGGGAGAGAGTGAAGTGGTCACAGGTCACCTGGAGCAGGCCCCTGCCTGGCCTTCCCCAGAGACCATCATTGGTTACCCCCAATACCTTGTGGGTTGGAACCTCCCCCACCAGGAGCGGCTGCCTGGGTCTGTTCCTGAGGGGACTTCTGTACCCACACCCAAACCAGACCTCAGACCACCTGCAAAGTGGTCTCCCCCCCCCCGGGGTGTCTGAAGCCCCTGTGGGGAGGGCTGCTGACAGCTGAGGGGGCATCACTCAGAGGCGCCTGGCAGGAGGCTGCGGGAGCAGGGGCGGGGCCCAGGGGGCGTTTGAAGGTGACTGCTCCGCTCTGCAGCTCGGTCTGGAGCTGCGCCTCCCTGGTGGTCCCGAGCCCAAGGCTGAGGAGAAGGGTTGGGGGTGGGTCTTTGAGCGGGTGCCCTTCAGGGCAGGCTCCTGTGGCTTCTGACTATCCCTGAGGCACTGCGGTCAGCGCGCCCCCCGCAATGGCCCACGGTAGAAGAAAGGATCGGGGTAGGGGAGAAACTTCAGAGGTTCGGTCGTCAGGGAGCACATGGGAATAGGGACAGAGCCCCCCTGCCCCGAAAGCGCAGGGGATGGGGGCTCTGGTCCCCTCTTGGGAAGCTGCTTTCTGAAATCACAGCAGCCGCAGTGAGCCGCTCGCATTTGTGGGGTCTCTCTTATCAGGGAAACCCCGGTCCCTAGAGCGCCACTGTTTTGACGGTTCGCCCCCGCCCTCCGCAGATGAAGGGGACTCGAGCGGGGACTAGGAGGGCGGCGGGCAGGGAGCGGCCCCGGAGCCTTTGCCGCAGCGCCGAGTCTCCTCCAAACTTCTCCCTGGCTCCCGCGGCGCGGGGAAGGAGGACACCTCAGGGATCTGCGCACCACCAGGACCCGCACCCCGCAGGGACCTGCACACCCGCCGCGCCTGGGCTCCCGCAGCCGCCGCACCCGCATCCTTCGGTTTTGCGAGCGGGAGAGCGGCCCTCAGGCGGGAACGCGCCAGAAGAGGAAAGAAAGAGGGCGAGGGAGGAGAGGGGGAGCGTCGGAGACAGGAAGGAGCGAGAAGGAGGCCGCGCGCCGGCCGGGACCGCGGGGGCCGCTTCAGCACCGCGGCAGTGGACAGCGCCCGCCACGGACCCCGCGCGCGCAGAGCCTGGGAGAGAAGCGGAGGCCGGGGGGAGAAGCGGGGGTCGGGAGGAGAAGCCGGGGTCCGGGGGAGAAGCCTGGGCCGGGGGGAGAAGCGGAGGTCGGGAGGAGAAGCCGGGGTCCGGGGAAGAAGCCTGGGCCGCGGGGAGAAGCCGGGGCCGCGGGGAGAAGCGGGGGCCGCGGGGAGAAGCCGGGGCTGGGCGAGGGGAGAAGCGGGGGCCGCGGGAAGAAGCCGGGGCTGCGGGGAGAGACCCGGGAGCGGAGGCCGGGCGGGCGCAGGGCGCGGTTACCTTCCCGGGTCGCGCGCGGGCGGTCAGCGGCGGGGCGCGCTCGGGCCGGCCGAGTCCATGTGGCGCCCGGCGAGCTGCGGCGGCGGCTGAAGGGCACCGCGAGGAGGGCGCGTCACTCGGAGGCGCTCCCCGCCCCCCGCCCGCGTCCGAGCGTGACGAGCAGGCGGAGGAGCCCGAGGGGCGGGGAAGGGGGTGGATCCGAGTGACGCGCCCCCGGCTCCCTCCCGCCGGCCCGGCGCTGCCCCAGCCTGAGCCCGCGCCCCCCGCCCGCCCGACCTGCGCGCCCCCAGCCCGGCGCCCCCCTAGCCGCCCCCCAAGCGACGGCGCGGGCCTGCTCCCTGCATGGTCCGCGCGTGCCAACCCCTCAGGCGGAGACGGCCCTGGAGCGGAGGGGTTAGGGGTCGGGGGAACGAGTGAGGGGTCGCTGCCCCCGTTCTTTGGGGACCGTGCCCCAGAGCGCTGCCCGCCGCCCCGACCCCCTCCGCATCGCAGGGCGGGAAAAGGGCGCCCCCAGACCCCTCAAAACCCATTCGCGCCCCTCGCAGTGGGAGACCCGCGGGCTGGGCCGAGCTGATTTTCAGGGTAATGGGGTCGCCGACAAAGCCACTCTGTTTTGTTTTAGCGGAACAGAGGCCGGAGACTACAAAGTCCCCGAGAACAGCGGGAGAAGCCGGGCGGGGCGGGGGCGCCCGAGGTCACTGCAGGCGGGCGGGTGGGGGTTCCCGAGGAGGGCGGGGGACGAGTGGGGGTCCCGGGGCGGGCGGGCGAGCAGGGGTCTCGGGGCTGGCGGGAGAGCGGGGTTTCCGGGGTCCCCCAGCAGTCCCGTCCCGCGGCCGCCCCCTCCCCCGGCCTCCGGGATTTCCGCTGCGGCTGACGCGGCACTGCGGGAGAGCGGGGTCGCCGCAAGGTCGGCTCTCGGCCGGGTCCGCCCTGTGGTCCCTGCGCTTTGTCAGGCGCCAGGTTCGGAAAGGGTCAGGGCGCACGGGGACCCTAAAGCTGCCCTGTGCTCCTGGCCGGGGGTGGCTGCTGCTCGTGGTCGCCGCATTCACTTGTCACTGTCCTATCGGGCTGCGTCCCCGGACTGCGCTGGAGCCGCACGGATTCGACCCCTCCCGCGCTCTCTCTGCTCGTGGCTCTGCCTCATCCCCGCCCCTCCCCCCGCCCCGACTTTAGTCTGAGTTCAGGAGGCCTGGACCCCAGCGTTGGCCACAGTGCCTCTGCCCTGTCCCCACTCCTCTGCTGATCTGGTAGGGGACCCTCAGCAGAGGAAGGGAGCTGCGGGGGAGAGGGGAGGGTGAAGGCACCAGGCAGAGTCCACGGGCAGCCAGGAGAGTCCGTGGGCCTGGGAGGTTCACAGGTAACCTCCCAGAGGGGGACCTATGCCCTAGGATTGGGGTCTCTCCAGCCTCCCCGGTTAGAAGCCATGGGCACCCCTAGTGCCATCCCTTCCTCTCCCCCTGTATCTGAGCCATGTGGGCTCAAAATGTTGGGCCTAGGGACAGGGGACAGGAGGCAGGAGGCACCCCGGACCCCTTTCTGCCAGTGACTCGTGGGCCCTGTGGCACTTAGGGCCATCTCCACCTCCCCTGGTCCGAGGCCTCAGTCCTCACACACGCCCCGCTGGATGCGCTGTGGAGTGAGCCCAGCCTGGTCTGCTCAGCCTGCCCTTCTAGTGTCCTCAGGACCTGGGAGGGGACAGCAAGGGTGACATGTTTCGGTCCAGGAAGGAAAGGTCACTCCCTTCCCTGGCACTTTCTCCCTCCATCCCTAACTGGGTGGATAACCCCACAGCTGACCCTGACAGTGACCCCAGAAAGGACCCTGGGGTACCCCCTGAACACAGAGCCAGGCTCATGACTGACCCTGCCACCTCCACAAGCCACATGCAGGGAGACACCTTTGGGACAGTCTGCACAGGAGGGGCAGGATGGTACATGGAGGTACAGGCTCCTCTGAGCAGAAGGGTCCAGGGTCTGGGCTTCAGCACTGGACTCCTAGGCTGACCGCTCCCTGGTTCTATAACCCAGACCAGGCTGAGCTCCAAGCACACCTCCAGCCGGTACCCAGAGGACAGAGACCCTCTGCCAGCCCTCACATTCTGACTGGGCCTTTCTCTGCCTCTGCCTCTGTCTTTCTCTGTCACTGTATCTCTGTCTCTGTGTCATTCTGCCTCTGTCTTTGTCTGTCACTGTATCTCTCTGTCTCTGTGTCTTTCTGCCTCTCTGTCTCCCTTTGTCTCTTTCTGTCTCTTTGTCACTGTATCTCTGTCTCTGTGTCATTCTGTCTCTTCTTTCTCTGTCACTGTATCTCTCTGTCTCTGTGTCATTCTGTCTCTTCTTTCTCTGTCACTGTATCTCTCTGTCTCTGTGTCTTTCTGCCTCTCTGTCTCCCTTTGTCTCTTTCTCTCTTTGTCACTGTATCTCTGTCTCTGTGTCATTCTGTCTGTCTCTTCTTTCTCTGTCACTGTATCTCTGTCTCTGCGTCTTTATGTCTCTGTGTCTCTGTGTCCATCTTATTGTCTTCGCCTGTCACTGCTGTTACCTCTCTTACACCAGCCACGCATGAAGCAGCCCTTCTCAGCTCTCACACTTGTCTACACCCTAACCTGGGGGAAGGGGCAGCCATAACTTGGAGGGAAGCAGACAAGGTGAGTGACAGCCCCAGGTCAGAGTGACAGGTGCCCTGGGGGAGGGAAAGTGGGCATCTTCCAGTGGACTTGAAGCAGGTGCCAGCTCAGGGTATGTGAGCCGGGCCAGGGCTGCCCGCCCAGCCAGGTGGGAGTCACAGGCTGCTGGCCAGGAGCCACCTAGGCGCCGCTCCAGCGGCAGAGGGAGGCGACACAGCAAATGGCCTCTGCCTAGCCAGCCCCACGGGCCACTTGGAAACACCCAGGCAGGCCCCTCGAGTGCCCAGAGGAGGCCCTGAACCCTGGAGAAGAAGCCCCCAGACCTCCAACCGGCTGGAAAGGGGCAGGAGCTGCGTGAGGAGGGGCCGGTGGTTTGAAGGGCCCGCTTGGAGAAGCGCTGTGCTCAGCTCGACCAGCCCGGGCTGTGGGCCCTGTGCCAGCTGGTTGGACATGGATGTTGCCCCCAGCTCAGCCAGCTCTCTGCCCCTCAGACACACCATCCCCAGATAGCAGCCCACGTGAAGCCAGGGACCCCAGCAGGGCTGTGTGAGGACCACATGGCATTGGGTTTGAGACCCTGCAAGGGTCACTCCAGACAGCAGGGAAGGAGCAGCTGCCCTGCTGCAACCTACCAACTCCAGTGTCCCTGGACACCCCTGCCAAGGCCTCCACCCCACCCTGCTCCCATCTGCTGGGTCCCGTCTGCCCGTAGCACCTCCACCTCCTGGGTGCCAGGCATTCTCCCTGCCCTGGGCCGGGAAAGGGGTCCCAGAAGCACTTTCAGGATTTCCTGGAGGTGGCCTTCTGTCCTGGTGTGGGGTGTGGCTAGGGGGCCGGGTCCCCCACGGGCTCAGCAGGAGGGCAGCCCTCTGCCACACCACCTATGTGGAGCCGGCCCACAGAACCCACCTAGAAGCTCCAAACAAACTTAATTGTTCAGTGCACCGAGTAGTTCAGTCTGACTGCTGACACCATCCTTGCTGTCATTTTCCTGCTGGATTTTGTTATTATTCCAAAAGTAACAACATGTGAAAAGCGTGAGCAGAGCCAGGTGAAAACTCTTGCTGTTCGCCAGAGCTGAGGCAGGACCTGGGCTGAGTGGAGGGCATCCCCTCCATATCCCGGGAAGCTCCCTGGTCCTCCCATGCTGTGGCCTGTTCCCCTCCTCCACCAGGTAAGGAAAGTCCAGCATCCCACTCCTGACTGAGGAGAGGCCAGCACAGAGGTACTGCTGCAGCTGGGACTGCTTGTGCCTCAGACCCCGTCCTGGGGTCCTGGGATCTGCGTGGCTGGGTCACACGGCGCCCAGGTCTCATGGTGCCCCAGGGTGCAGGTAGGCCAGCTCTGAGTTGCTCCCTTGTGGCCCAGCAGGGTCCCAACCGTGCATCAACAGTGCCAGGTCGCTGGGTCAGCAGCAGTGACCTTGGGCTGGGGAGAGCCTCCTGTGCTGGGCAGGGCCGGTCCCAGGCTGCCCACCCCCCAGGTCAGGGCCCTCCAGCTTCAGGGGGAGCCACAGGCTCTGGCCCTGCCCTGAGTGTGGGGTATGGATCCGGCAGCCTTCAGCCGGGGACCCTGAGTGACCCAGGGCAACAAAAGAGCCACTCGGGGAGTGGTCTTGGGGTGGAGAAGCCTCCCAGAAGCAGTGGCCACGGAGGAGAGGGGCCTTGCTGTGGCCTGAGGCTGCTCAAGAGACTCTCCCCTCCCAGCCTCAACACTCAGGGCAGGAAGGAGGGGCTTCAGGGGCTCCGAGGCCAGGGTGAGAGACAGGGAGTCCGGGAGATGCAAGGTTGGTGGGGGGGCATGGCTGGCTGGGTGCAGAGCGAAGTGGGTAGTGCTGGAATTTGGGGATGGCCAAGAGATCGTGGGAGCTGCCAGTTACGGGGAGAAGTCCCCTGGAGGACCCTGGGCCAGGCACCTGCACTCCTGGGGCCCAGAAACCCAGACACTCCTTGGGGTCTCGAGTGCTGTGTGATGGGGCCCGAGGGGGCAGACGAGGGGCAGAGGGCAGGGAGAGCTGGGAGAGCCGGGTGGATGCCTGGCTCAGACAGCAAGTGCCCCTCCCCTTCCTCCTTCTCCTCCACTGACACCAGAGTGAGGCCGAATCACGTGGTGGGTATTTTTGGGAGCGTTTCATGCCCAGGAGGCGGGAGGAAAAGTTATTTTGGCTCCCTGGGAGCACAGGACCCCTGCAGCAGCCCCGGTGCTCACTCAGGGAAAGGGCGTACGCGGCTCAACCAGGCTGTGGCCATCTCTGTGTCCCCCAGGGCTTGACCTCCTGGCATCGGACTTTTTGACCATGGGTGTGGTGGTGGGCACGGCGGTGGAAGTGAGTTCCTGGAGGGCAGAGTAGGGGGGTGGGCTCTTAGGGCCGGGTGGGCAGGGGAAGGAGCAGGATGGCCACATCCCTGCCCCCACTGCTCCTGGTCTCATGAGGCCACCCTCGGAAGAGTGGAAGGATTGAAGAGCTCCCCCTCCACCGGCTCCCCTTGCCCACATGATGCCCAGCAAGGACCCCTAGGGGTCCCA